CATCACCCGTTAGTAACCAGAAAAAGATAAATAAAATCTCTTTGGGATAGAAGGATGGTTTGGAAGAAGGCAGGGAGCAGAAAAATAGGGGTATGTACGTCTGGTACGTACGTCTGCAAATTTTATCGCTCAGGAATGAAATACCATATCTGTATAAAAAAAATCAACATACTTGCACCGGATGGACCATTAATAAAGCACGCCATCTGTACTTCAACAACCATTCAACCTTCAGGTAGATATTGTTTAAAGCAGATAACGAGTTGAATTGTTCAACCTCGTACTGTTCAGATTACTGATACTGATAAAACAAAATTCCAACACAATTTCCTGCATCGCTCGGCTCTCTGTTTCACCCATTTCCTTTATTTCCCTTCAAAGAATAAATGACCTTTAATTTGCTGGAAAACATTTTCCCGATAGCATTTTCTTTGTTTTCAGTTTTCATAGAGTATCTATTTAAAGCTACCCAGCATCAACAATGCTTATATTTTTATATATCTGTACAGGGCATCCTTTAGAAACCGAGATACGAGGGCTAATACAGAAATAAGGTTCCTTAAAAATCTAGCCACATTGGAAGGTACGAGGCTAAGCACGGCAACACTGCTGCGACGCACAATGTTGCCATATTGGGGAATGTTCCCAAAAATTTGGAGGATTTTTAAGTCCATTTGTGAATTTCTGGGGGATAAAATGTTCTGGGAGATTTTTTGGGCGAAAAATAAAAACGTTTTGTATTTTTGAGGTGTTTTATCCCATCTTTAACTACAAAAAACTGTCAACTGCACCATCGACGTCCCGTCCAAACGCGAGTGCCATCGATTCAAAGGGAACAAGATCGAAGATAAAATTTGTTTTTCGAACATCTGCAGGATTAACAGCAACATTGATGCTGTTCATCACTACCTGCAATCCAATCGTCCCGCCGTGCTTTTCTTGGCGGAGACAAAAATCTCAGAGTCTGCACCGATTAACTACCCACTTCCCAAACTACGAGGTGCACTCCAATCTGAGAAAGAACGGGGGAGTTGTGGCTTTTGTCCGCAGCAGTCTTTCCTGCTCCAGAGACGTTTCTTTGGAATCAGACAGGAAGGACATTCTGTGGCTTCGCCTCAACTCCAAAACATCACCCAAGTTTATTTGCTGCCTTTATCGCTCTCCCTCGGACCATAACTGGGATGACCTACTCGAATACCTCGCCGTCCAGATCGACTTTCTGAACATCAATCATCCCGCTTCAGAGGTAGTTCTTCTCGGTGATTTCAATACCCATAACGAGCTTTGGTTGGGCTCAAACAAGACCGACGCAGCAGGTCGTGCCGTCGAAGAGTTCGCTCTTACCCAAGGGCTGACTCAGCTGGTGACGAGTCCTACTTGTTTCCCCCGCGTCTCGTCACACGCCAGTAGCCTGCTGGATCTCTTTCTGACCACGCATGCTGCCCCTTACAGCACTGCTGTCCTGTCCCCCCTGGGTAACTCAGACCACGGTGTTGTGGAGGTTAGGTTTCGGTCAGAACCCGCTGTGGCAGCAGAAACTCATACAGGCCGCAAAACTTGGCATTACGGACATGCCGACTGGGAGGGGCTCAGAGATTTCTTCTCTAGCTTTCCTTGGAAAGATGTCTGTTTCACTGATGCGGATGCGTCGGCTGTCTGTTCTTCGATAACCGAAATTATCCGCGTCTGCTGGTCTTGTAGATCCACGGGTCTGCAATTTCCCAATTCTCATGTGACGAAGTGATAGCGCATGTACGTTCATGTGCAATCATGACTCAAGAAACAATTTGTTCTAACAAAATTGAAAAATACTGTCAATGCGTTGGAAGAATAAATTATTTTCTATGTTATTCTCCCTCCCCATGGTCTTCCAACTGGTCAAACCTTGTGTGACCCTTTTAGAAGGCATGTTGAGTATCCATTCGCTAACAGTAGTGGGAAGCCTCTTACTTGAAAGCACTGATGTGATTTTCGGGAAGGTGGTTTTGTCAATGGGATTGTTCTCTAATTTATTTAATTTAATTTATTTATTCAACTTGATTAACATATTTTCAAATATATACAATTTGCTTCTTTTCAAAATATCCATATTTACTGTCCACCTCTCTATTCAGCTATACTTTTGGGTCATAATATCTTTTCAATTTGCTTTTTGAAATGCAGCAAATCTACCCAATATTGCACTAAATACCATTATTAATCGAGCATTAAATGAAATAAACATACATGAAAATATTATAGATCTATTCATCTGCTCTTTTAGAATACGTAAAAATCATTTGGAATAACTGACTACTGGAATATATAATGAAAGCTCATACATAGCTTTATATTCTCCCATATTTATACAAAATTTGATTGCAATTGGAATATTATGGTATCGTATATCAAATTAATAACCAATTAAATACTCTGCAATTATGAATACCGCGAATTTGTGCTTTTTGTATCTTGAAAACAGGGCTGGAGCCAGCGATATCTCGTACAAAAAGGATCGCAATTTACAGAACTGGAGGAAATACTCAACGAGGACAGAAAATATTGGATCATTGCTATTATATACGTGTATATATAAGTGACATATAAATCCGAACACCCAGTTTAAATGGTTTTATTTTAATAAAATTTTGTGTAAGTACTTAATGAAGCATAATAAGTAAATGATAAAAATTTAAAAATGATTGCACTGCTTTAAAGCCCTTTGACCTTTAATAATGTGTGGATGCACCCTGATGTGCTACGCATTCTCCAACGTGCCTATGCATGCTTCTGATCAGGTGGTCAATGTCCTCCTGTGGTATGTCATTCCAGGCAACCACCAACTCCTCTCGAAGTGCTTCTAGAGTCTGAGGAGGACGTTGCAAATTGAGCAATCTCCTACCAATCATATCCCACACGTGCTCAATTGGGGATAAGTCGGGAGATCTTGGTGGCCATGGTAACAATGTGACATCATTATGTTAAAAGAAGTCTATTGTGACTCTTGCAACATGTGGTCGGGCATTATATAGGGTAAAAGATGGGGTTCTAGAACTTCGTGGATATAACGCTGCGCGTTCATGTTACCTCTAATGAAGATTAAAGGTGACCTGGAACCATAAGCTATAGCACCCCAAACCATAACTCCAACAGTGTGATGAACATGTCTTTCAACAAAAAACTGTGAATTCCTCCTTTCACCACGTCGCCTTCTAACCCTGGCACGACCATCGTGCATGCCTAAACAAAATCGAGACTCGTCACTAAAGACAATACTGTTCCATTCCTGATCCCAGAATGACCGTTGTCTGCACCACTCAAGGCGATTACGTCGGTGTTCTCGAGTTAAAGGGAGGACCCAGTGTGGCCGGTATGAAAACAAGCCAAAACTTCTCATTCGTCGGTAAACACTTCGCATGCCAATAGGTCTTCCGTGTTCTGCAAACCATTCATTTGCAATGGACCTGGTAGTGGAGAAACGGTCCATTAAGGCCAATAATCTTAGGCGGCGATCTTCACGGTCTGTTGTTCTACGGCGGCGTCCAGTGCCCCTTGCTCTTTGCGTACGGCCTTCTCGAAGCCATGCCTGACAACACCCAACCACAGTATCTACACTTCTCTTTGCACTATAACTGCAATTGCCCGAAAAGAAAGTCGAGCTTCCCGAAGTCCCAATATACGGCCCCTATCAAACTCACTAAGTTGACGAAATCGTACAGGTCTCCGTATTCTAGGCATCGTAACCGATCGTAAAGGATGTCAAGAACCAAAATCCGCCAACGTTGAAGAAATTTTATTTATGAATGTAAATTGTATTAGAAACTAAAATATGAACATTATTTTGCTTTTGTAGGCCGTCATCAAAGAACGCTATCGCCTGACCGTTAAATCAGTTAGTAACTGTTTCTTTCAACATGTCATTATTTTCCCAGCGCTTTCCATCACGAAATTATTTAAGTTTTGGAAAAGCATGAAAGTCTGATGGTGCGAAGTCAGGGCTATATGGTGGATGGTCCAGTAATTCACAACGAAATGTTTCCATTTGCGTCTGTGTTAGTGCCGCAACGTGATGCCGAGCATTGTCGTGAAGCAGAACAACGTCGCTAAGGAGCAGGGTCCGCCAGCGGTTGTAAATAGCAGATTAGCGAACCTGATCCGACAAGCTGCTGGTGAATATCGACAGGAGGAAAGATGTTTGCGTTTATAGCATGCTTTCCAAAATGGGTGGGTTTGCGGATTGACATCGCGACAAGCAAAGCAGTATAACTACACAACCAACACCGACAGGGACGTGAAACGTAATATCGGCCAAGAGTATCTGAGGTTGAACGGACGTCTCGTGACAGGATGATTCATATTTTAAAAATGGCCCTCGTACCTATATCTTTTTTGGGTCATGTAGATGTTTGATTGAAATTTTATTAGATAAACAAAATTTTGGTCTTTGTCGTGCAAACTGGACCCCTCTCAGTTATCTAAATCTACTATCCACTATTCTTCTTCTTTCCAAGTTCGAAAAGGATGATGTAAAATAAAAACAACAAAATGATGGAGACCTTCTAGAAAGGCTAAAGTTATTGACGCTTTTGGGGATAAGGAGATGGGATGGGAGAAGGCAGCAAGCAAAAAGTGATTGATTGACAATTCTTACTAGGGGTCCGGTTTTGTGTCCCTATTTTTCAAATCAGATGTATGAAAGTTTTTTGAAATTTCATTTTTTGCTAACGTAATTGCTTTCGGAGGAAGTATCCGTCTTTTGACGCTCTCCGTACCGCTCTGCCCAACAAAGCACTGCGGACGCAAAATTGTCCCGCTTTTCCAAACCACGCGAAAATGCCAAGTCTTTTCTCTAATGAATAAAGTATGAACAACTGAAACCAACACAATTGCAGGTTCCGGTTTTTACGGCTATGTTAAGGTAGCGTTTTTCTGGGTTCTTTTGGGTGTGGATTAAAACACTGGATTCCAAAAAGAAATGCACTAATTTATTTATCTTGACTAAATAGAACATTTATGTACACCACTATTTATGTCTGACTAATTCTTGTCCAATGACTTAACTATACTCCACTCTGCTCTACCCTCTCCCGGCCGTCGAGTTATGTAGTCCGCATCGCACGGACTCGTTGAATCGAGAAGGTTCTAGTGAGCCACATAGCGGCATTCCAAAATCTTCGAGGTCACTTCGCGTCGATCTCGAAGAAAAGTCCTTGGCATGGTCCTCAACAGGCACCGAAGGAGAGTCTCGCGGTCCCCAACAGATGTCGCCAACAGTACTATTTATTCTTGTTACATTAATAACGAAAATGAACATTAAAAAAGCGTGCCAAGAATTTATTCTTACATAAAATCATCTTCAGCTGTATTATATGAAATTTGTTCGTCTGATACATATAAGAGCAACTTTTTTGAACTACCTAAAGTTAGTAGAACCGAGAAAAACCTCTTGTTCCACGGTCTCGACGCCATCGGGACATAAAATGAGCGGTTTATTGGTCAGTTCTGGATGTACAAAGTTCGACACGGTTAGGATGGGAGGCGGAAGTCAGGCAGGTCTCTCTGGCAGGCACATTGCGCGGCGGCATCATGGAGGAGAGCTCTGAGGAGCAAAGCACGTTGGTATAGCGGTAAAGGAGAGCTAGATCGCCAACGACCAGGCGGTTCGAAAGGGTCACGAGACTGTCTGCTGGAGAAGAATCATCGATCAGTTGGACAGTTCTCCTCTGACCAGCATCGAGCATGGTTAATAGAGTCGGGGCGGCAGCACCCCAAACATGTGAGCAATATTCGGTCTTGTATAGAGTGAGGAGAAAAGTACTTCTTAGCCCTAAACAAATATCCTAGCTCTTTCCCAGCAGCTGCCACTATTGACGAGATGTGTTCGTGCCAGATCAAGTCCTCGGTGATCTGGACTCCGACCAGCCGAAATGAGCAGCACTTTGACAGATCACGGCCATCCATCGAAACCGGATGAGCGCTAGGACGCTTTTTGTTCGTCAGAGTACAGTACAGTGTTTTGGTAGCATTAAACTGTACAGGATTGTTGCGTCCCCAAGCAGTGATACTATACCTCTAGAGATAAAGTATCTGCTAGTCTTTTTTTTTCGGCTCACCAGCAGAGAACGGCTTGTTGCTCTGAATTCCGGCATGTATCTAACCTGAAATAAATATACTAAGTGACATATAAATCCGAACACCCAGTTTAAATGGTTTTATTTTAATAAAAGTTGGTGAATGTATTTATCTTACTGTAAATAACAAGTGAAAAAATTTTCAGCCTTATCAGTTGGACATTCCGGTTTTTATACTGCTTTTTTTTAATTCACTAACGCTCTAAAAATGAATATTTCAGCCGCAGTAAAGAATCAACGTTGGCGGATTTTGGTTCTTGACATCCTTTACGATCGGTTACGATGCCTAGAGTACGGAGACCTGTACGATTTCGTCAACTTAGTGAGTTTGATAGGGGCCGTATAGTGGGACTTCGGGAAGCTGGACTTTCTTTTCGGGCAATTGCAGTTCGAGTGCAAAGAAGTGTAGACACTGTGGTTAGGTGTTGTCAGGCATGGCTTCGAGAAGGCCGTACGCAAAGAGCAAGGGGCACTGGACGCCGCCGTAGAACAACAGACCGTGAAGATCGCCGCCTAAGATTATTGGCCTTAAGGGACCGTTTCTCCACTACCAGGTCCATTGCAAATGAATGGTTTGCAGAACACGGAAGACCTATTGGCATGCGAAGTGTTTACCGACGAATGAGAAGTTTTGGCTTGTTTTCATACCGGCCACACTGGGTCCTCCCTTTAACTCGAGAACACCGACGTAATCGCCTTGAGTGTGCAGACAACGGTCACTCTGGGATCAGGAATGGAACAGTATTGTCTTTAGTGACGAGTCTCGACTTTGTTTAGGCATGCACGATGGTCGTGCCAGGGTTAGAAGGCGACGTGGTGAAAGGAGGAATCCACAGTTTTTGTGTGCAATCATTTTGAAATTTTTATCATTTACTTATTATGCTTCATTAAGTACTTATACAAAATTTTATTAAAATAAAACCATTTAAACTGGGTGTTCGGATTTATATGTCACTTAGTATATCTAGTGATTACTCAGATGATAACAATGCAGATGAAACCGGGATATTTTATAAAATGCTACCAGATACTCATAAATCAAAAGGTGAAACTTGCAATGGAGAGAAACTATCAAAAGAGCGAATAACTGTTATGATTTATGCTAATGCTAATGGTACTGAAAAATGGAAACTATTGATATTAGGCAAGTGAATGAATAGAAATTCATGTTCTATTTTTTTTGATATTCAACGGCAATGCTGCAAAGAATTTATGACCTTTTTTTATTTCAGGGAAATTTAAGAATCCCAGGTGTTTCAAAAATGTTAAACCAATTCCCGTCGATTATGTTGGAAATAATAAAGCTTGAATGAGTTCATCAATTTTTGAAGAATATTTAAAAAAGTGGGACGCTGAACTTGTTAAGAACAATCGTAAAATTTTGCTCTTGGTCGATAACTGCCCCGCTCATCCAAATATTTCACTTAATAACATCGACCTTCAATTTCTTCAACCTAATGTGACATCAGTTGTGCAACCAATGGACCAGGGTGTCATTTGGAGTCTTAAACAAATGTATCGGGCACATATGTTGATGAAAATTATGGAGCTTCAAGAAGATGTCAACATTACCAAAGCTGTCACCATTTTAGATGTTATAAATTTGCTTACTATTGCATGGGAATTGGTTACTCCAGAAACGATTCGTAATTGTTTTCGCCATGCTGGTTTAGTGAAAAACATAAGTGAAATAGTGAACGATTTTAATCCAGAAGATGAAATTCCATTTACTGAAAATTAAGAGCTTACTGAATATATACAAATATGACAATAATTTAATAGCAACACCGGAACTGTCAGACTCCAATTTGGTTAATGAAGGATCCGTTGATAACGAACAGGAAGACGAACTAGAAAACAATGATGAATAAGAGTTTTCAGTGACAACTAAGGAGGCATTAGACTACGACGAAAAGTTGAAACGTTATTTTCAGCAAGAAGAAGACAGTACAGCCACACTTACCAAATTAAATAAAATTCAGCTTGCTGTTCTAAATAATTATACAAAAAAACAATCTGTTCAAGTGAAAATTACTAGCTTTTTTACCAAATAATTTACGGTTTTTACACATACCTACACAGTACGTACGCCTATAACATGTGTATCAGATTCTGAACAAATGCAAATTTCAAAATTACCTATAACCTTTTTGTATGTATCTTTATTTATGTACTTCATGTTAAACAAACACATTTTAAGCTTTCAATATGTTATATCTGCTGATTTTTTCATTAAAAAAAAGTATAATAGACAGTCCCGCCGAGTCCATTATAAGCGGGTTGCACTGTATTTCGCATGATATTTACGTCTGTGACTCCAGCAACATGAGGTCCCCACGCGGTATCCTTTGCCTGCGGCTGGTCCGACCCGAATTCAGCAACTCCGACGGTGCCCCATAAACGTCATCGTGGTCTTCTACGACGCGTGACGATGTAATGATACCAAATCATATAAATATTGTACAGATATAATGTACCATGTATATAGTCAGTACTAATTAATGAAAACAAAATTTAATTAACATACCATTTGTATTCATTTCATATCACCAGCTGTAAGGGTTACCACGGCTAGCGAATAATAAAAATACCAACCAGAACGTACAAAAGTTGACTCAGACACATATGATCCATAATTCCAATTGCTTTAAATCAACAATACTGTTTTTCACTGATACCCATTCTACTCTATGGTCTTACGTCAAGGTATAAGAATTTTTATAGTCGTCGAATAAGAACAATACCAGAGTGCGCAAAAGCTGACTCTCTGACTAAGATACAATACATGCTGCATATTCAAAGTCCACTTATCTAGAATTGCCTGGGAAGTGCAGAGTTAATCAATGCGACTCCACTTCTTAGGGCCGCTCTCCCTAAGGGCAACTGGCAACTGCAATCCGAGGGCATGCCGACTCTGCACATGCGTACAAATACAAGCGTTCTCAACAAAGAGACGGCTCAATGGTTGCTGACACTGCAGTCACTAGTCAATTTGCAGTAGCTGACCAATTGACGATAGATGTGATGTCTGTGGATGTCTTTGTCAAACTTATTCTTATTCTTATTTCATGACAATACATTAACTTGTTTTTCTATATAATATAAATATATATATATATATATATAACAACAAGTAGGAAAATAATGGGCAAAATCCGCAAAAAGGAGGAAAGTGGATTCGAGCAGAAAATAGGATAGGTAACCCGAGCGATACGTATTTCTGCTGGGTGGCTTCATCAGGCCCGAAATGAATGCACATATGAAACTACAAAAGTAGATACACATGCCCACACATCCGGATACGGGTGTAACCTGAGGAAACGAAGTTGGAGGGGAAAAAAGGACACACGAAGTCCACAACAAGAGCCAACCTACACATTGTAGTATAAAATGGCTATACGACCTCGAATTTTCAAGGAGACGTCTAACCACCACCACGCGGCCGGTTATAGCCACTTGCTGTGGTACTTCAAGCCCAAAGGATCTACAAAGAGAATATGATCATGCGGAGAAAGGTATATAACAACAAGTAGGAAAATAATGGGCAAAATCCGCAAAAAGGAGGAAAGTGGATTCGAGCAGAAAACGAAGTTGGAGGGGAAAAACGACACACGAAGTCCACAACAGGTTACACCCGTATCCGGATGTGTGGGCATGTGTATCTACTTTTGTAGTTTCATATGTGCATTCATTTCGGGCCTGATGAAGCCAACCAGCAGAAATACGTAGGTATCGCTCGGGTTACCTATCCTATTTTCTGCTCGAATCCACTTTCCTCCTTTTTGCGGATTTTGCCCATTATTTTCCTACTTGTTGTTATATACCTTTCTCCGCATGATCATATTCTCTTTATATATATATATATATATACAGGGTGACTTCGAAGTTGAGTCATTTATTTTAACAGTGAGTAGATCTGATCAAAAGAAATGTTTTTTTCCTTTACCATTTTTCTGGTAAAATTAAAGTAACAAAGTTATAGCCCTTTGGAACTTTGAGTACCGCCCTGTCTCAATAATGATATTATGTTCTCGTGTTTGGCAACAACAGATATAATCCGCCTTATCCGTTCATCGCATCGGAAACAAAAAAGCGAAAGAATTTGGAACGATCTTTTTACAATTATTTTCTTCAGTTGTATACAGTCAGTATCA